ATCGGATACGTCACATGTAATGCCCCAGGATTTTCAACAATTCCAAACAGGGACCGTTACTACAACTACCTAAAATTTTTACTTAAACAAGAGAATTATCTTCACAACAAGACTAAACAATAAAACTACTACGCTTCTCCTGCGCTAATCTGATTTCAACACTCACGAGAGCTTGAACAACCAAAACAACACTAAAGATTTAAGAGGAACTCAAATCCTTTACAGATATAATCCATTTCATACCAACTTCACATTAACCAAACCCCTCAAAGAAACCTTTACTAACCATAAACCATACACTAAATGAATATTAACATCTTGAATGGCAACGAAGCAAAAGCTAACTCCAGTTCGATCAACTTAAACAAATGTATTCATAAGTATCCTAAGTAGGTTACAGTCTCGTAGTTCAAGAAGCTAACAAAATTAATGTTCTAAAAAGAATAATGAATTGACAACCTTAAAACATCCTTTAAACCATAAAACTAAACAAAACCAACCACTAACAACTCAACTACAAGATTAAATAGTTGCAACTATCTTAACTAAGAGAAATTAATTGCACGCAGCATCGCTAATGGTCTTTCCGATCAAACCTCCTCCTCGCCCCCACCATTCCAAAGAGTAACCCTGTTACCTACAAAGTCTGGTGAGAAAAATTAGGGGTGAGTACAACCACGGTACCCAGTAAGCATTACATACTTGAGGGGTCACGCACAAACAACATGCTTAGCAAAGAATCCACACATCATGCTTATCAATAACTCCAAGCTTTAAATAAAACGAAACATATTAAAAGAAGCAGTTTATGCATAAGTTTAACTAAACATGCACCATGCATGTCAAACTCATCCTTACATCTCAACTCACTAGTTCTCTTTCCTAGTTCCTCCAAGACTTACTCCTTCGAGTCGTTCYGACCCCTGACCTCGCATAGCCAAGGCATCCACACTTCTCTCCGGTGCTTGACGTTGTACCTTGACATTTATCCCCAAGGCCTCAACTACTACCAAACGTAATGGTCCTTGGCCTCCAAGCAACTCCTAACCAATCACATTATGTTAGTCATCCAAGTCTAACTCCTCGATTCGCATCGGCCCTTGCCATTTATCCCCAAAGCCCGAGACTCATCTA